GAAGCTCAACGGTACCGCGACACTAGAAACGACACTGTTTACCGAAAAATAAGATGTGGGCTGCGCGTTTAGTAGTGGTGTTGGAAAATGAGGTTTTTAATTAATTATTATTTGTATTCCTTGTCGGAAGGGGAGAAGCGATACCGTATTGAGACAAGCGGCATCGCGAAGAATTAAAACGGTACCGCGGATCTAAAAACGGTACCGCGATTAGGCCCAACGATGTCGCGGTACTTGAAACGACAATATTTTAGTAGAAAACACTTTCGTTAGCGGCCTTGATTGTTGGTGTTGGGGTTGGAAAAGGAGTGATTTTTATTCCTTGTTGGAGAAGGATAAAAAACAACAACGTTTAGTGACAAGCAATGTCGAGGGGTAGAACCAAGCGGTGTTGTTTAATTTAAATAGATACAGCGAGTAAACCCAATGACACCGCGGACTAGAAAATGATATCGCGAGAGGTCTTGGTAAGCGATGTCATTTAGTTAAAAACTATACCACAGCGGGTTGGATTTTGGCGAGGGCGGCCCGGCAAGCCCAACGGCACCGCAAGACGAGAAAAACGGTACCGCTTGGTAGAGAACAATGTCGCGGAATGAAAAACGACATTGTTTGATGGGACCAGGACGGAGTAGTTCAAGATCGGCATCGATCAGCAAAAAGCGATGCCGCGGAAAGATTAGACGGCGCCAAGGGATGAGAATTGGACCGTGTGGCAATAATGAGCCGCTTTAATTAATTAATCTGTTTAATGATTATTTTAGACGGTGTTGTTTGACTAAAAACGCCGCCGCGAGAGAAAACAACACTGCGGAGTATAAAACGACAGTGTTTAATATAAAACAATGTCGCGGAGAAAAAAAAGTAGACAGAGCTGTTTGGGGAATAAAACGACATCGCGTGAGATTCACACCAACCAGAGCGAGGAGGAGATCAAGATGGTTGAGACACGTGGGAGTTCACAGCGGGGCAGTTGAGGAAGCGGTTTCAACGAGCATGAATACTACGAAGATTTTTTTCAAATAAAAGCAGTGGAGCAAGGAGAGAGAAAGAGACAATAAAAATCAACACAGAACAACTCTGTCAAAACTTTACCTTTTCTCTGTAACTCTTTCGCTGAGCTCTCCTTCTAGTAAGGATCTCCATAGTTGGTAGAAGTATTCGTAGTCGCGGAGCTCTCCACAGGATTCTCCATAGGAGTAGTTGTAACGTAGATTCCCAAAACTCAAACACCCTCGTTCGAACGTAGTTTGGAGAGGTGCGAACCGTAGTAACGGCCGCGTTGGTTAGAAGTCAGAGGTGCATCGATCAAATCAACATCGCCCGGCGGTGGATATTTGACGATAACGTTGATTTCACCATTCAGAGGTGCATCGATCAAATCAACATCGCACGGCGGTGGATATTAGATGATCGTCATTGTTTTTCATAAATAAGTTGCACCGATCAAATCAACACCGCCCGGTGGATATTTGACGGTCGTCTCGATTTCAGCAATCAGCGGTGCATCCGATCAAACGGCACCGCAAGGGTTTCCACATCGAAACAGTCAAATCAACATCGCCAGAAACAAATTCGGCACCGGCGGTAGTATTTGGTTTTCGCCGGGGAATCAATTTCGCACACCTACTGGGACACGTGTGTTTGATGTGAATACGGCTCCGCGTCGAGGAAATCAAGATCTTGATCTTCCACACGTATTTGTGGAGGAGGAGGTGCCCGACATTGAAGTTGGTCAGGCGAACGAGGCAGATAGACGTACTCAAGAGATGGAGGAGCTGCTACATGATGAAATCTTGTATCTATGTCAATCCATGGAGGAGTTTCGCCAATCCATGAAGGAGTTTCACCAAGAGGTAAATCTCCAATTTGATAATCTTGAAAAGAAAATGGATAAGTTTGAAAACAACATAGATCGATGGTTTGATAAGTTGGATGACTGTGTTTCTGATTTTAGTATGTCAATACATAGAGCCACGTATGATTTTGATGTGTTTAAATTTGAAACCATGTCTGTTGCGTGCGATGATTTAATGGTTGATCGACTAGCCATGGTCAACCAAATGCTATCGATGATCCTGGCGACGACATTGTTGCCAGAAGCAAGGAATCCCAATGTGTCTTTTCTAGTGAACAACATTGTTCTTTAAAGACACACAAGTTGGAGGTGGCTTGCAGAAGCCACTACAAAGAGATCAGTATCAACATATTTCTAATAATAATGAAAATAAGAATCAGGGTGGACAACCTGGTTACAATCACGTTGAGCATAGCAAGCTCGCGTATGATGGGTTGTCCAAGCAACATCGCAATGGTGTTCAATCTAAGCCGCTAGGGGTGCATGAGATCCCACCGCATGGTCGGTTGATGGAAAAACAACATCGCAAGTGCAAATAAGTTTGCCAAATCCATCATGTTCTAGCAAAATTCAAACAAGGGTTGCCACAAACACTACTCAAGATGGAGGTGGCAGCCACGTGAAAAAATCCAATGGCACCAAAGTTAGCATGAATCAATTGAATCATTCATGTAAAGTGTCCCCAAAGACTCAATCGATTGGACAGAGGGGCAAGTCCTATCAAGCACGCCTTGGAGTTGCTACACCATCATTTCTGGGAAATAAGTCTGCTACAAGTGGTGGCCAGGGGGGCAAGTCCAATGCCCGAAAAATTCCAATCCCACTTGGAAGCTCAAAAGATACAAATAGGTTCTGTGGTAAGTGCAAAAATCAAGATCACAGTACTTACACGGGTGATGGTGAAGCTCGTAAGCATCGGTGCTCATACTCCAACAACGTGGTGGGAGTGTGCAGCTAGAAAAGACAGACTTGATTGGGCAAGCAATGCCAAATGGTCGATCTGGAAAGACAAAGGTGGGGAATGTCCTTTCTAAAGCCAAGAATGCTAATGGTTTTCCATTCTGTGATGCTCAGATGAAGTCAAATCAGGCTCGTGGACTTTTGAACAAGGATGTTCAAGTTGGACGAGCTGAAAAGATGAATTCCAATACTGAATTCAAAACTTCTCAGTCGTGTGTAAAGCCAGTTGTGACGAGACATTGTGTTCACGGATAGCTTGTTTGGTTTGATCCGTGGAGTTGGTAGTGGGCGTGTACTTTTGGCAGGATGGTTTATGCCAAAGACAACCTTGTTTTGTTTAGCTACTATTAAATAAATAATGTGCCTAATTTAGGCCACGTGATATGTAAAAAAAGTAAAGATAAAAAAATATTAAGGTGCAAGGTCGAGCATCGTTGACGGAGTTCCAAATTGCTCTGACCGCAATACAATGTTGGTGTTGAATTTTGGCCCATACAACATTGTTGCTTACCACAGCTTTGTAAGTTGACGCCGCCAACAGCTGGACAAGTCTGCAGTGATGGTCTAAAAGTTATATTTGTTTTCATTTAAATAAACATATCACCGGCCAAACATCATGGTTATTGTTCAAATGTGTGTTTAGTAGCCTATATCGATGTTTTTGTCTTTAATGCTCTTTGGGTAGTATTTCGTGCATTTTCTGCAATGACGACCTAGTGGAACACCTTGTACGACCTGGAGATATCATGATTAAAATGTTTGATATGATAAATAGAAGGGGTGGTATTCGGTTTGCCGGTTATCGGTATAACCGGTTTCCGAACTAGTAACCAGCGGTTATCGGTTATACCAATAATAACCAACGGTATCAGTATACGGTGGGAAATTTTGGATCATCGATATACTGAGTTCTACCCGGTAAGTAACCGCCGGTTACTTGGTATACCGAAATAACCGCAAACCACACCCTTCCCAGTTCCCACCCGTTCACTTCTCATGCCGCCTGCATTTTTTTTTCCTTTATTCTTTCCCCACAAAACTTCTCTCTCTTTTCTCTTCTTCCCCAACTGGCTGATGCGATCTCTTCTCCCCTAAGAAGTAAGAACCCAAAAATAAATTCCCTAACACTCCAAAAAAATCCTTCTGTCTCATCTAACTAGGATCCCAACTAAGTACTAACCATCCCCCTTCTCTCCCTTCCTTCTCTTCTCTCCATCTTCTTCCCTAAGCCCCGCCACAGATCAAGGAGCCCCACCGCAATTGTCACGGTCGGCACAATTCAATTCCTCAGCCCTCTCCATAGTCTTCCTCTCAACTAAGCCTCTGCGGAAGATCCAGTCATTGTAGTTGGATTTGGAGTTTCGGTGGTCTTCAAGGACACACAAGTTAGAGGTGGCTTGCAGAAGCCACAACAAAGAGGTCAGTATCAACATATTTCTAATAAGAATGAAAATAAGAATCAGGGTGGACAACCTGGTTACAATCACGTTGAGCATAGCAAGCTCGCGTATGATGGGTTGTCCAAGCAATATCGCAATGGTGTTCAATCTAAGCCGCTAGGGGGGCATGAGATCCCACCGCATGGTCGGTTGATCGAAAAACAATATCGCAAGTGCAAATAAGTTTGCCAAATCCATCATGTTCTAGCAAAATTCAAACAAGGGTTGTCACAAACACTACTCAAGATGGAGGTGGTAGCCACGTGAAAAAATCCAATGGCACCAAAGTTGGCATGAATCAATCGAATCATTCATGTAAAGTGTCCCTTAAGACTCAATCGATTGGACAGAGGGGCAAGTTCGATCAAGCACGCCTGGGAGTTGCTACACCATCATTTCTGGGAAATAAGTCTGCTACGAGTGGTGGCCAGGGGGGCAAGTCCAATGCCCGAAAAATTCCAATCCCACTTGGAAGTTCAAAAGATACAAAGAGGTTCTGTGGTAAGTGAAAAAATCAAGATCACAGTACTTACACGGGTGATAGGGGTGGGCGTTCGGTCGGTTCGGTTTGAACCAAACCAAACCACCACAGGCCGAATTTCCAAGATGCTCAACACGCCAACTGAATTCGAAGCGAGTTGTAATTCGATTCGGTTCGACCAAACCGAATTACAACTTGGTTCGGTTTGGATGGTAAAAACCGAAACATGGACTTCCTCAACTGGAATTTTTTGACTGTCGGTATTGGTGTTGGTGGCGCCACCAACATTCTTCTGTTTGCTCGGTTTCTGACTGGTGGAGGCAGTCATGTCAATTGGTTTTGGATTCTGGACTTCGGACTCGTTTTCGTCGAAAGGGCGGTACAAGAAGTGGAAGCTGAGGGACTTCCTTCTGTTTAGAAGCGCGTCGGAAGGGAGGGCGACAAGGGCGGAGCAGTTGTCGGCGGCGGCGAAATACGCGGTGCTGTCGAGGAGGAGTCGCCGCCTGCTGAGGAGGAGGAGTCGGCGAGTCGCCGCCTGTCGAGGAGGACTGGAGGAGGAGGAGTCGCGAGTCGCCGCCTGTCGAGTTTCGACTTCCAAGCAGAGCTGGTGCTTCGAGTTCGCGATTCCGAGGGGAGGGCGAGGTCTGCGACTGCGAGGAGGAGAGTGGAGACGAGGAGTCAATCACTCAATCTCCTGACCTAGGGTTAGAGGGCAGGCCGGCACTCGGCAGGCTGAGGACGTGAGGCCAGAGGCCCAATTCAATTGTGCTGGGGAGGTGCTGGGCCAGTGGGCCTGGGTAGTGGGGTAGTGGCTAGTGGGTTGGGCTGGTTATTATTTCGGAATTCGGTCGATTATTTCGGTAATTCGTTTCGGTTCAAACACGTCTGGTTTCCGAAATACACTACATTCATTTCCGAATTTCGAACCTAATTTTATGTATCTCGGTTTCGGTCGGTTTTTGTTCGGTTCGGTAAAACCGAACCTAATGCCCACCCCTAACGGGTGATGGTGAAGCTCGTAAGCATCGGTGCTCATACTCCCAACAACGTGGTGAGAGTGTGCAGCTGGAAAAGACAGACTTGTTTGGGCAAGCAATGCCACATGGTCGATCTGGAGAGACAAAGGTGCCAAAAAAGGGGAATGTCCTGTCAAGAGCATAGAATGCTAATGGTTTTCCATTCTGTGATGCTCAGATGAAGCCAAATCAGGCTCGTGGAGTTTCGAACAAGGATTTTCAAGTTGGACGAGCTGAAAAGATGAATTCCAATACTGACTTCAAAACTTCTCAGTCGTGTGTAAAGCCAGTTGTGATGAGACATTGTGTTCACGGATGGCTTGTTTGGTTTGATCCGTGGAGTTGGCAGTGGGTGTGTACTTTTAGCAGGATGGTTTATGCCAAAGACAACCTTGTTTTGTTTAGCTACTATTAAATAAATAATCTGGCTAATTTAGGCCACGTGATATATGAAAAAAAAGTAAAGATAAAAAAAATAATAATATTAAGGTGCAAGGTCGAGCAGAGTTGAGGGAGTTCCAAATTGCTCTGACCGCAATACAATGTTGGTGTTGAATTTTGGCCCATACAACATTGTTGCTTACCACAGCTTTGTAAGTTGACGCCGCCAACAGCTGGACAAGTCTGCAATGGTGGACTAAAAGTTATATTTGTTTTAATTTAAATAAACATATCACCGGCCAAACATCATGGTCACATGTTATAGTGTTGTTTTTTAAAGAAAAAAGAGCAACAAGCAGCTTTGATGAAGCTTGCCGCAGCCTTGCGGGAAAAAGAGGGATATTCATGAATGATCGTTTAAAAAAATAAGTAAAAAAGTAATTAATAAAACAGCGTTGCGGTGCAGCTGTTGTGGAGTAGTAGTATGATAATGAAACACGATCGCTTTGTTCTTTTGAACAACGTTGCTGGCAAAGAAAAAATTGATAGTAGCTCAATTAAAGGAAAACGCCGCTGTTTTATAAACAACAGCGTTGTGGGAGAAAGGATGCAGTGATGCAAATCTGTCTTGCGGCAGTCACAACTCACAAATAAGGCTATTAAAAGTTTGGCCAAAGCAAAAATAACAATAATAATAAAAAGTGTTTGACCATAACGCTGTTGTTGTAAAGAAGTTGTGGGCAAAAAAAAAAAAATTTAAGCGGCTAGAAGTTTGGCCGAAAGCGATCTTGTTTTCTCCTTGGAAAAGGGCCTATAACAATGCTGCGGAAAAGAGAGAGAGTTTGGTCAAAACAGAACTGCAAGCAGTGCAGCGTTATAAAATAAATAAATAAATAAAAATACTCCGCAGCGTTGCAATGTGAAGGTTGAGCAAAGTTGCATGCATGTTAAATTGCTCCGGCCACAGCATTGGCAGAGATCTAACAGCATTGTTTTAATTTTATTATTTTTTTCTTTTCTCCAAAACAGTGTTGTTGGAATACCAACATTGTAGAGAAAAGCGGGACAGTAATAAAAAAGCACAATAACTCGCCATGGTGTTGGGGTAAATGGCAGTACAACCAAATCTGGTCGAATGAAAAAGGGAGGAATTTTCTGCCAGCATTACATTAGAAAACAAGTCAGTATAATCCAACATTGTCTAGGATTTTCCAAATTGGCCAAAATTAAAAAAGAAAGGAAAAGAAAAAAGCAGTGCGTATACACAAGCAGGGATAAATTTTTTGAATAGAAAATGGTGCGAACCAGCCAAAATTGATTTGTTGAATCAACGTTGCTTTCGGCCATTGGCGTTTACAAGGCCAGTTGAACAATGCAATGTTGTTGTATGATTTGGCCCGTATGGTTTGAGAATTATTTTCGGTGGAGTAATTGTGTCAACAACTTAGTTCATAAGAACTACTTTTTATAAACTAAGTTGTGGGGAGCATTGTTTACACTTAAAATACTTTTGGCCTAAATTCAATGTTGTAATAATGAGTCTCGGCATTTAAAGCGGCATCGCGAAACAAAAAATGGTATCGCAAGGAAGCTCAGATGTACCGCGACACTGGAAACGACACTGTTTAACGAAAAATAAGATGTGGGTTGCGCGATTAGTAGTGGTGTTGGAAAAAGAGTTTTTTAATTATTTATTATTTGTATTCCTTGTCGGAAGGGGATAAGCGATACCGTATGGAGACAAGCGGCATCGCGGAGAATTAAAACGGTACCGCGGATCTAAAAACGGTACCGCGAGCAGACCCAACGATGTCGCGGTACTTGAAACGACATTATTTTAGTAGAAAACAATGTCGTTAGCGGCTTTGATTGTTGGTGTTGGGGTTGGAAAAGGAGTGACTTTTATTCCTTGTTGGAGAAGGATAAAAAACAACACCGTTTAGTGACAAGCAATGTCGCGGGTAGAACCAAGCGGTGTTGTTTAGTTTAAAACGATACCGCGAGTAAAGCCAACGACACCGCGGATTAGAAAACGATATCGCGAGAGGTCTTGCTAAGCGATGTCGTTTAGTTAAAAACTATACCACAGCGGGTTGGATTTTGGCAAGGACGGCCCGGCAAGCCCAATGGCACCGCAAGACGAGAAAAACGGTACCGCTTGGTAGAGAACAATGTCGCGGAATAAAAACGACATTGTTTGATGAGACCAGGACGGAGTAGTTCAAGATTGGCATCGATCAGCGGAAAGCGATGTCGCGGAAAGATTAAACGGCACCAAGGGATGAGATTTGACCGTGTGGCAATAATGAGCCAGTGTAATTAATTAATCTATTTAATGATTATTTTAGACGGTGTTGTTTGACTAATAACGCCGCCGCGAGAGAAAATGTTACCCCCCGATCTTTCTAAGGGTCAAAATGACTATTTTACCCTTGATTAAGCTTCATCGTAATATCGAGGAGGATTAAAAACGTGAACTATTGGTTTGAACGGTGTCGAGTTTCGATATAAATTGAATAAGTTACGGACATTAGTTCAGTTACGGATTAAACTCACCCGTGATTTGTGAAATTCCTTCGAGTTAGATAAAACCCAACCCTAATCCCATGCCCAACTCGGAAACACTCAAGCTAATTACAACCTAAAATCCTAAGCAGCCTTTTGTCCTCCCCACCGAACAGTTTCTCCGGACTTGGGCAATTCTCGGGGAGAAAACAAAGCGGCGCTACTTACCGCTCAACTGTGAGCACGCACTGTGGGGCAATTCTCCGGGAGAAAGTTAAGCGGCGCCATTGAGAGCTGCCCATCCTGCCGGGATTACACAGGGATCACGCCACTTATCGCCCTCTACTACGAGACGAGCTTGACCAGGTTGCTTCTCCAACGGCCGGCAAGCGGCGTGATTGCCTGCGGTATGAGAGCAGCTAGTTTGACCAGGCTGCTTGCGAATTAATGGACTTGACCATGCTGCTTGTTGGGGTAATGGACTGGACCAGGCTGCTTGTGACGTGATGGAGCAGCCTGCTTAGAGTAACTAGGCCAACGGAGCAGGAGATTGTGGCGCCTATGAGCTGCTGTTTTATGCTCTCTACTACGAGAGGTGCTAGCTTAAGCAAGCAGGACAATGATCAGACGAGTTTGGGGATGAAACAGGACCATTATTCAAGAGCCTACGTCAGCTACCTGTTTTGAGTAAGCAGGACCAGTATGCAAGCAATCAGCAGGATATTGGTGGATAAGCAGGCAGGTGAAAGCCATTATTAAGCAGGCAGGAGGAGGCTAATTATTAAGCATGTGGTGTCGGCAAATTAGGGCAAAAGCACATAATCAAGCCAGTTCCGACGGAAGTAAGGTGAGTGTGGGGGGGTAAATTCTACGCCTTATGTACTCTTTTAAGTTTGACGAGCCTTAAGTATTTGTTGAAGTGATTGTTATTGCTTGATTGTGCTTATGGTTGATGATATGTGATTTTGTTTTAGCCATGTTTGATGTGACTGTGCATGAGTTTTATTTAAATTTAAGCTTTGAGTTTATAAGTTATTGTTGAAGTTAAGAAGCAAGTCCTTTTTAAGAAGTAACTCACCTTTAAGAAGGTGAAGTCGTTTTAAGTGTTTTTAGTCACTAGCGCCAGTCCATTGCCATTTGAGATTTCCAGATAGAGCAGCAGTTATGCTCTTGAGACTTTTAAGATGGGCAGCAGTTATGCCCTTGAGAATCGTGGTGAAGAGCCACCATGATAAGTTTAAGATGTTAGGGGGATGAATCGTTACGACTTCCCTAACTAAGTTTAAGTTTAAGGAAAGCCTTGATGGCTTCTCATACGTATGAGTTGGCAACCGGACTAGCTAGTGAGGGATCCCAGTGTCAGTCAAGTATTTAAGTCAAGATTTGAGCTTTAAAAGAGGAGAGTAACTTCAACTCGCTCAAAGTTTAAGAGTTAAGATTTTAAGATTGGAAGTACAAACAACTTCCACCAGTTAAAGTTAAGTGTTTAGGAAAAGTACTCAAGTATAAGAATTATTAAAACGTAAGGGCGTAGACTGACCCCATCTCACTCACCAGTTTGAAGAGCTAGAGGAGCTAGAGGAGCAATTAGTGGGCAGCGAGTTCGAGGGCAGCCAGCTAGAAGAGGGCAGTACAAACGCGCCACTGAGGATGTTTGGTCAAGGCTTTCAGGAAGCAGTAGCATTAGAGACTTTTTAGTTGTTTCAGTTTATGATTATGAGTATAGGCTGGAGATCATTTTGAGATTTTAAGGTTTGAGTTTGCCCAAGTGTCAAGCTTTGTGTTTAAGTAATGACAGTTGTTTTTGGTATTTATTAAAGTTATTTATGAAATGTTTCC